GGGTGTTAGAGTTGGGTAGCTGTAGTGATCTCAACATGAATGGTCTGTTAGACCAGGTGTCATTATTATGTAACAATGGTGCAAGTATATAAAGCCTGGACTTGAATAAACACGTGTCAGTATTATCAGCACTCAGTGTGTGTCGTGTCTCATCTCTTGTATCGCCCTGCCAAATGCTATACGGACGTTTCAAGATATTACATTAGCCAGTTTTTTTTCTGACATTTGGGTGTTAAAGTTTTGTAGCCAAACAAGCTAAGCATTCTCCAATACCCAGAGTGTCGCAAAAGAGATTTGACCATCTCTGGTAACAAGAACCAGAAGAAAGCAGGAAGTGACGCACGCCTAAATGCATAAAGCAAGACAATTGATATGTGTAGTTCAGTGGTTTGAGTCCATAGGTAAACTTACTCAGGGTCGCCAGTCAATTTCCAGGTGTACCCGAATTCTGCAATAACTTCCCTTGGTATCTCCGTTAAGTCGAACAGAGGAATGAGCTCCAGGCCCCATGGTGTCCATTTTTGGAAGTCATCGTATGGGTCACCATTTCCATTTCCCAGTAGTCCGCAAACTTTAATGGAATCAGGGTTAATATTGACATCAACACGCCCAATTCCATTATACCACACATCAAATACATTCTTCTTCGAAACGCACACCTTGGTTCCATCTCTATACACCCTTATATCGTTATCGTAGTCTTCAAATGTCGTGAAGTTTTCAAAAGATTCTCTCGGTTTTTTGTTTATCTGTTTAAAATGTATGTATGTGTCAGTGGACACTATTGACCATATCATCTGAATAACAATAACGTTACGTAACTCGATGTTCAATTAACAGTTAATAAAACTTTGAGTTACTGGCAACATACATTTTGGTTTTTGTTGACAATATATATATTTTGTTTTGTTTACCTTTCAAACAAGCAATCTTATTGCGCGGTCAAAAATGAAAGACGCTATGTGGATGTTCGAACGACAATCTACGTTGCTGTAACTCGAATTTAGGTTAACTGTTTCGAGTTATTAACCAGAAGTTTGAATAACTGCTAATTAACGTTCGGGTTACAAAATTTGAAAGTTAAACAAAACAAAAAAATATATGTTGTCCGTTACTGTTATTCAATGTTCGAATTATTGAAATGGACATTTAACAAAAACTCAAAGTTCTGTTGACTGCTAACTGAACATCAAGTTGCAATTTGGGCGTGGTTCCACAAAAGTGGGCGTGGTTTCAAAAATATGGGCGTGGTCACTTTTATATCTCGATGTCCGTAACTCGAACAATACAGCATCTCATAAAGTGATGGCATAAAAAGGGGAAAACAACTTTTGACAGAGTTGACGCCTTGATCACTGTTTCAGGAATTTCAGAAAATTATTTGGAACAAACTGTAATAAATTCATCCAGAAAACATGGTAATGATAATATTCTTACCGAAATTTCTTTGCCAATAAACAGTTCAATTTCGTGTTCCCCTCCTCCTATTTTATCTGCGAAGATAGATAAGGCATGCACCATTGTTGTAAATGCTCCAGTTCGGTCCTTGGCAGCAATATGCTGGGATATCACTTTGAACGCTGCATGGCCATTCGGGTTACTGCACTCTCTAACCAAAACGTACGAACATTGACCATCAAACCTATAAATCAAGTGATCCAATGTTTCTAGTACAGGGTCCCCTCTTACACCCGCACCTGCAATGAGAATTGAATGACATACCACTGTAAGATTGGCATAGCAACAGAAACAGGTCCCGCAATTCAAAGAAACAAACAAACAAACAATGCATTATAGCTGGAAGATGGCAGCCGGAATTAATATGCTAATCAGAGCCAAGGCGGCTGCACTGATTATGGTGGGGGTGCCTACCGCTGGAATATGTTCTTAGAGTAAATCAAAATCAGCCATGGAGAGAGCTTGAATCAATAATGCCTCTCTTGGCCACATGCTACTAGAACACCGCCACTACTAAGATAATATGATAGAGCAACGGAAAACAACAAGGTCCTGTAGCCTCCCCATTTTTTTCCGCCGCGCACTTCTTTATTATGCGAATATTTTCACATTTTGTAAAATTGTCACTAAATTTAATAAATTTTATAAAAAAATGTCAATTGTTATCAACATTTTATACGGACAGAAATAGTCTGTACAAAACCATTTTACAGATGGTGCCAACAGATGATAATGGCGCTCAACGCATTACCGAGACGGCAGAACGAAATTTTGGAGGCGGGATCTGCTTTGAAATCTAGACCCTCTGAGACGCTATTTTCTGCATTTTGAGGTGCAAGACAGGCATTTCTTTTCAACTGTGTCGCATCGACACACAGGATTTCAGCTTGATTGGGGGGGGGGGCACCGCCACTGATTTACACGGTTCTAATCTACATTTTGGTGTCATACCTGGTTTTGCTCCTTCGCCCGTTCCAGTTCCCGTAATCGTGTTAACCATACTGCCAGTTGGAATGTCAGTGCCATTCAATTTTGTCATACCTAAAATAATAATGGTATGCGATATATGGTTGTCATTTTACACCTACATTCATTTCATCGAATCATTTAACTTGTTACATCACAGGGAGCCCAGGAACTATAATCAACTGTAATACGCAGTCTCTATGAGCGCGCGGGGGGGGGGGGGGTATCGGCTGGTATCTTGTGTAAGAAATAGACAAGGGATGAAGGCTCCAGCCAGCTCACATTTTTTAAACTCGAAAAAACAGACGAAAAAAATAAAAAATAAAATCTAAAAAAAATACCAGGTTGAAGAATATTAGTTGCTCCTTCGAATTTCGCCAAAGCCTTGCCTACATTTTACCGA